AAGCCTTCCGTTCAAGTTACTCACGGCGTCATCCGAGGCTAGATTCCTCCCCTCTTCCCGGTTCGGTGCGTCAGGATCCATCTCCTTCACAAGGCCATCCCTGTAAGAGTTGGACGTCCTCAGGCCCTGCAGGATGTTGTGCTTGGTGAACTTCCAATAGCCCGTGCTAGCTTCTGGATGTGGTGGTTGTGGTGCCGTGTCTTGTAGCCATTCTCTGACCACAAGTAGCTCCTTGAAGCAGAGGTGAAGACTCGACCAGAGCCTGGACAATTGTTGCAGAGGGTGTGTATGGATTCTGAGCCAACAATTCGCGTGCTGAAGGCTTGGTGCTGGTTCAATCTTTCGCGGTGGTAATACAAGTTGAAGGAGATTCCATGTGTTGGCTTCTAGCTGTAGGAGATCAATGTCTTCCCTAGATGCCCTCCCGTCTTCCAGGTCTGCTATTCTGCCAACCTTGAGCTCGCTGTGGCTGCCAATTCCCGTTCAAAACTCACTGGTCTTCACATATCTGCCTCAAACGAGGCGCAAAGCCGTTCTCACTGTCCAGCAGAGCCTCCAGGTCATCTTTAACCGACTGAGACACCGAAAGGACGTCCGCAAATGAGCTGTACAGTGTCTCTGCCATTACGGTGTGCAGCAGTGGTCGTGGTCGTGGACAAAGTTCGTGCAAACGCTGGGATCGAAAGCGCGCGCTTACAGGCGCACACGTGACTACCCCGATTCGGGATTTCATGTGTCGGCCCTGCCAGCGTATCTTGGCAACATATCGAGAGACTACTGTGTCTTGCTTTCACCAAGGGCATCGCAAATCATCGCCGCAGGCACGGGGAGAAGCGTATTATCCCTCTGCATGAGCATGCCTGTAAAGTATGATGGCATCGATGCCAGGAGGCCCTATGCAGAGCTCTCACCTGCATTTCTCCAGTCTTGGGTGGCCGGCTGAACTTTGTACTTCCATGTGGCGATAAAGGCTGCCCGTATGACGACACCCAAGCCCGATCCTGCTACCCCACCCGCCTGAACTTTTTTGACGCGCCTCGATCAAAGACCTATGTCACTGCCGACTAATTGGCTTATGGCAGAATTGCACATCTCTGCGCTGCATAACTACGCCAATGAGTCGACGCCAGTAATCTCTCCTCGACTCTGCTACTCTCTTCCCTGTCTACCCTGCCTCATCTGTGTTAGCTATGCCCGCAAGTCAGGATACTCCGCTGGAACACCCTCCTGATCCCAACTCGGGGATTCGGACACCACCATTCTCATCCTCTGGCTTTCGCACACCGCGTCGCGTCCAATGGCTGGACGAGCATCGCTCGTCAGATCGTGCTACACGCATGTTAGACTCGTCGGGTGTCGATGTGAGTCCTTTGCATTGATCCATCCCTCTCACACTGATTGGAATAGGCCGAGTCCTTTGGCAATCTGGTCGACTCCCTAGAGAAGCACCGCAAAGAGACGCCCAATAAAACGGATACCCCTCGAGGCCTGACCAGCAAAGTACATTACTACTCACACCGACCCGACCGCACTGGTACCCGAGGCGACGCAGCAGAACACCTCCCACCTCAGAATGACACCAGTGCGCATCTCGAGAAGCACGCGGGTTACGACGATAGAACTCCTCAAGGTCTTCAAGGCCACTCTTCAGCGTCACGTCTTCACTTTCCACCTCCGCTGTCACCAGAGATGAACAACGACAAGGATGTGGATTTCGATGAACCATCTCAGTACAGTAAGAAGGCTCGATGGTCCTCCAAAGCCAAGGCGAAGCAGATCGTTCGCCATCACAGCCAGAAGCGGCAAGGAGGTCGGAAAGGCGATATTGGCACGACACTTGTAGATCCAGTACCTCAACTCGATGACGGTGCTACCAGCGATGTGGATTTGGAAGAGAGTCGCCGAGCTGACGGTGACAATGGTCATCCAGAGATGTCAGGAGGTGGTGGTGGTGGCGGAATCTTGTCCAGTCTGCTAGAGCTGTATCGACACCAAGAAGCAGGCTCAATTACGCCGTCCGAGCATAACCTGGCATCTACCTGCTCGTCGACCGTGACCTCTGGCTTTTCAACGCCATGCGACTCGGGCTGGCAGAGTCCGTCTGGAGACTCTGGCCCTGGAAGTGAGTCCTCGTTGAGCTTAGTCACGGCTGGGCTGACTCTGAGGATTTCTCAGCCCCACACAGTTTTGACGATGGCTCCAGAAGAAAGTCCAGATTCCCTCGCCCTCGACTCACGCTGCCCTCTTTGGGTCTTGTTCCTCGCCATAAGAGGGCAAGAAGTGGTGGAGGTGTCATTGGTGCATTGATTGCGACCACTGGCAACTTGGGGGGAGTCGCTGCACCAGTTAACAGTCAACTCCAACCAGACCTCACCCGCCCTGGATTTACTCTTTCAAGGTGAGTCAGGTCCAAGGTATCGGCTAGTCGTCGTTCTCTAAGCCATGCCATTGTATGCAGATACGCTCAGATTGAAGATCTGCCTCGCTCTCGCCCTGCTCCTCCGCCCATTCGACCACCTCATCTACGCTCACAATCCGAATCTAACATTGAATTACGGCGCCTCTGGACTGGACCCAATGAGTCTAGTCCCACGACACTCTGTTATCTCCACGCCGACTTCACCACTGTTCCATGAGATCAGCTTTGACAGGAACAATGAGAAACAATCACCCCATAAACGGCCACCTGTGTTACGGAGGGCATCGTCGTTCGCAAAGACCTTCCGGGGAGGTAGCGGGCGCTCGACACCGACCAGTTTCATGTCATCGACGACCTCGCTACCCTCGCAAAGTCCGCTACTCAAACCGGAGAGGAAGGAGAAGGAGAAACGAAGGAAAAGGAAGAAGCCGAGATCTATGTGAGTCTTTAGCATCATGCCTTCTCCTACAGCTTGATTGACGTCGAATGATCGAAGATCACACGCCACATTGCCTCAAATCATCCGCCGTGAAGAGTTCTTGCTGAAGCTTACGCGCGCGATGATGATGTTTGGCGCACCAACGCATAGGCTGCAATCTCAAATTCAATCTGCGGCTCGGGTACTTGATGTCCAGCTGAGCATACTCTACCTGCCGGACACCACTCTCATCAGCTTTGACGATGGAACAACCGGGACGAGTCACGTCCAGCTCATACGACAAGCCAGTGCTCTTGACATTGGCAAGCTCACCGATGCGTTTTACCTGTATTGGAAGGCAAGCCTTTGTCCTTTGGATGCGGCCGTGAGCGTTGCTTATACACTTGCAGGTCATCCATGACAAGATCTCTGTCACAGACGCCTCGGGAAGGCTTGATGAGTTGATGAAGAGCCCACCGCTCTACAACTGGTGGCAGAACGTGCTCATTGGAGGGATGTGCTCATCAGCCATTTGCACCGTTGCCTTTACCGGGAGCTTCATTGATGCCCTCTTGTCCTTCCCTCTTGGGGCTCTGTTGGTGGCCATCCAGATCCTCAGTTCGCGGAACCAGCTCTATCTCCATGTCTTTGAGTAAGCCTCGCTCAACCTGAGACAAAGAGAAGGGACTGACATTCGATCCCAGGATCACGATCACGATGCTGTTCAGTTTTCTTTCAGCGGCGTTTGCTGCTACCCACAAGTTCTGCTACTCTGCAGTGGTATCCGTCTTCAGTGGTACTGATCCTTCCTGTAAATCCTTTCATCGGCATCTTCGGACACCTTGAGCTGACATTTTTGACAGGGATTCCTCGTGCTTACAGCGGCACTGGAGCTGATGTCGAGAAACATTGTCTCTGGGTCAATTCGTCTCTGCTATGCAGTCGTCTATGCTCTTTTCTTGGGATTCGGCTTCGCGTATGGCGCCGACATCTATCAACGCATCTCTTCGACGCAGATATACGGTACAGAAGACTATTTGTGTACGGCCAGTCACGATCCAATGGGCCCTTGGTACCAGCGAACGCCGGGCCCCATGTGGGATAAGTCATTTCCTCTCACCTGCAAGTGAAGAAAGGCTGACCGTGTTTCGACCAACACCCTTCCTGTCAGTGCCCATGTTCTCGTTGTTTTTGAGTTTGAAAAACGGAGCACCATGGAATCGCAAGGAAACGGTACGAGATCTTTGATGACGGGTTATCATAAACGTTCTCATTGAGGCTTAGCTCGTGCTTGTGTTAATCGCCTGCATGGGGTGGACCACCAACTTCTTCACTGGCAAGAAGTTTGTAGGTCAAAACGATATCAGCGCGGCAGTTGGGTATGTGGCTTTTTCTGATACAATAACTAGTTGGTGCTCACCCCATTTGCAGCGCTTTCACAGTGGGCATTGTTTCTAATATCTATGCTCGAATCTTTTCGGGCAATGCCTTCGTAGTCATGGTACGGCGAATCTTTTCTCTCTTTCATCTAATCTAATCTAATGACATTGCAGGTTACGGGCATTCTATTCCAGTTGCCGAATGGACTGGGCAGCGGGGGGCTGCTCAGTTATGCAAGTCAACAGGCGTCAGGGTCCTCGGACGCTTACATCTCTGCGTTTATGCCGACTCTCAAACTGATCGCTGTTGCTATGGGCTTAGCGATTGGACTTGGGTTCTCGCTTGTCGTTACTTATCCGATTCAAAGTAGAAGAAGAGAGGCAGGCATCTTTAGTCTGTAAACTAGAATGTCGTAAAATATACTAATAGACCGTTCCGTTCGAGTTACGAGGGGATACGCCCGCCGCAATTAATACAAAAGTGTGATCTTCCGATCTGCTTATCCTCTTCGGCTTCACCTTGGGGCACATCCTATCGATTATCTGAACCGTGCCCTTCAAATTCAACACAGTTTTCTACGTTTGTATTACTTGCCTATATCGTGCTGGCGAATCTTATCTGCACTACGGAGCGAGCAGCATGACATAAATATTCTCATAGGGAGACATCAAGGCTCAAGCCAAAGGTCAAGGTCAAGTAGAGATACACTCAGTTTTAACTGGCCCAGATAGATTGGTAGGGTGCTTACTGGGCCATTATAGCACCTCTGCTGCAGATTCACATGGCGAGATGGCCGAGCGGTCTAAGGCGCCAGACTAAGGATCAGAGTGCAGCAGCACTCAACCCTCACGGAAGCTTCGTGATCTGGTCCGAAAGGGCGTGGGTTCGAATCCCACTCTCGTCAAAGCTTTTGCTTCCTTTTGAAGAGGATAGACGTTTTGAAAGGATGGGGGTTTGAGGATTTCGCTCCTACGCTCGAACCGTGACCCTGAACTAATACATGAAGGAAATGGACAGGGATGAGCGTCTAGATTAAAGGAAGGAATTTTTCAAGTATATAGAGAGTGTTCAACACGCAGGGCAGTCATCACTCATGTCATTTAAGATCCGAAAGATAGTGGAAGAGAACGTGGAGGGACGCTTGGCAGCGATTGGCGAAAGCCGTAGATTTTGATGCGACACGCTTGGTTCAAGTTGGCTAATCAATTCTTTAGACCTTAACTAAGGCTTTGGGTTGCTTCCTATGTTAAGGGCTAGGACTCCTAGGTTCCAAGCGATTAAATTGTGACATGTCCTGGGCAGCAATTTCAGCCGCCATCAAATCTCCGGCAGGCGCGGCTTTGCGCCATCATTGATCTTATCTCGCTCCCATCAATTTACCCCTCCCTGCTTGTACCTCCAATACATTGGGCTCATTCAAGTCACCAGCTTGGTAGAGGGCTGATGGATAGCTGTTGTACACTCAGGATAAGCATTAGGTACTAATTATATGACCGGGCCCAGGTGTTACATCAAGCACAGGGCAGGTATAGGGGCAATTCAGAAATCCAAGGCATCTGAGCAATATCTATCTGACTGTCGCATCTCCTACATATCAGAACTAACTACCAGCGCGTCCCATGAACTTATGCCACTTGTTCATACAGGAATATCCATCATTATCTATAGGAACTGCATCAGTACTGCGCCAGAAATGATCGTTAGGCCGCCTACCAAAGCTTTTCTTGGGGTCGCACGAGCACATCCCAGCCTCCCATGTTTTCTTGTTCGACGAGCAGTGAACGTACGGTGAATGTTCTGATGTTTTTTGTGTTAGAAAACGGGTGGGTACGATGAGGAAGAGGTCGAAGAAGTCAGGAAGGGGAGGAGGCGGCTGCCTGAGGCTGGACGTACCGTATGCGATCTCATCAAAGAAGTGAATCTTTTCCTTCGGAAGCATCATAGCAGCAGCAATGCTATGCACAGGTGCATCTCCCCAGCGCTCATAGTAGAAGCCACCCTTGGAGTCGAGGAACTCGAAAAAGTCCATATAGGCCTTGCTACGCCAAAAGTCCATATCGGCAATCTCGAAATTGGACCAGAAATGGCACAAGTTGTATCGGTTGTCTTCTTTTTCCATGAAGCCCATGGCGTTGTTCTCAGCGACGTACTCAGGGTATTGCCTCATAAAGTCTGAAGAAGCGTCAGCCGTTACTCCGCTCCCTTCCTCAAAACGAACGTACCACGAACATGACCCCACATCGTTGGAATGGTGGCCTCGTACTCGTAAAGGGTGATGGTGAAGCCGTAGGTCTTGTTGTTCTGCTCCATGTACAGGAAAGGGTCGTGGTTGATGTTGCAGTGGAAGTGAACGTCGGGTTCAATACGCCAGTACCAGCGATACTTGAGCATCAACGGGTGGCGGAAGAAGAATCCAGAGTTGAAGCGGCACATGTTACGGTACGAGACGCTACCAGCCGTAGATGATGTTGTTCTCGACCATCTTGTCCCGGCTAGCCTTAGCCTTGTCTTCGTCGATCCATTCGGGTTGGTACCAATGATCATGAGGGAATCACTCCAAACTCCATTTTGGCAGGGCTCAGGTTGCTCAAGCGCCTATAAAGCATATCAGTCGTTAATCTTCCTCATCATATGGTGCTACTCACCTCTTGAACTTCGTCTGTGAAAGGTTCTTCATTCAAGAAAACGTAGGGATAGTGGTATTTTCGGTTGAAACGATCCTCCATCTCCCGGACGCTGCGGATGATGTTGCCCATGTCGCTATTCCGGCAGAGGATCACGAACGAAGCATTCGCTCGCTTTCCAGTTTCAACAACACTGTCAAGGGGTTGAGGGACCTCTGGCTTGGGCTTGGGAAGATTCTGGGAAATCTTGTCCTTGAGATTAGACAGAGATGTCGCTTGTCCGTAGGCCTCATGGGTGAAAGACAAGAGGTAATGGAGGGATATGATGAGGAAAAGGGCAACGAGGATGTATCTTGCTGGTGTATTCATCTTGCTCGTCGTTTGCCTTGAGCGCCCGTCGGTGTGGTTGCCAGCAAACTCTAGAGCTGGCTAGTGGTAGTTGGTATGGGAGTCAATTATCTCCACACCCGATCTTGTGCACGTGTACCTCGGGGTAACGGTTGTCCCAGACGTCGATGGTGCCCCCAAGGTGGTATGAAGAATAGCAGAAAGGCCTTCAGCACAGTTTCTGCTTCGAATTGTTGAGGGAGAGGAGAAAATGGAAGGATTGGTTTCAACCCCCTGACAGTGATGATCTGATGGCAACCACGTTGCGGCGGACTGGGATCACCGCGCAGCAGCGCCAGCCTCCAAAAAGCATCACAAAAGGTAGGAGAAGGCATGGAAATCACAGCTAGCTTTGCCAAAGGCAGATTTGGTCTTGGATGCACAGGTTCCTTGTGCTTTCGACCAGGCTCTCTCGAGGCCCTCTATTGACTTGCACCGGCTGGCCGCATGCCGGTGGATGACCTAGAAAACCTTCGTTTTGACTGAACTGCGACCATTGAGGGTGCGGTTGCATTCATTATAAACTAGGTATATACAAGACGGTCATGCAATCATAACCCATCGAAAGCACAACATCAAACGACAGAGTCCAATAGGCCTACGGCCAAACTAAATAGGTGAATTATATAGCGAAAGAATGAATGTGACGGCAAGGCGTGCGTGTCTGTGGGCAGATAACTGTCGGGCTGTCCATGAAATCGAATGTAAATAGATGCTCTCAATATGTGGTATAAGTGATGTTGGTGTTTTATGCACCGGTGCACTGAGCAGTCGGGATGGCGGCGAAGCTTCCAACGTATTGATCAGGATAAACACATCCTGCCACGGGAACAGCACCACCGAGGGTATCTTCGTCGTTGTACCATCCGTCAAGGCCTTCAGTCACCTCTGAAGGTGCAGCCGTGAAAGTGGGGACTGGCAAAGTAATGGCTGGGCCAGTGAAGGTATACGTTGGCAGGAGCTCGACGGGCACATCTGCACCCGTGATTGCTGCAGGAGGCCAGGGGTTCGCCGCAGAATAATCAGCGGGAATGGTGGGGGATGCCAGTCCACCGGTTTGGTGTTGCTGGAAGATACCACCGAAAGGCAGCATTACAGCACCAAGGGCGGCGCACTTTCCAGAGGCAACACGAGGGTCACGTGGAATCCACCCTTCTTGGAGACCAAGCTTATAGGACCACATGGGTGTCTCGACGCGTCCAGCGGCAGAGTCGCCAATCTTCCATGTCCACCAGAAGTAGTCGCCGATGGCGTCGAAACTGGCGAGGATAAAGTTGTAGAGGCCCTCCTTGAGTTGGGGTGTCCAGTTCTCCCAGTCGTTGTACAGGGCACATTGAGAGTGTTGAGAGTCGACACCGACAGCACGCATGAATAGACCACAGTCGTTGACGGCACCAGAGAACTCGCCACCGACGGTGACACCGAGAAGTTGGCGACTAAACTTCGATCAGAAACGAGCCCATACACAGATGTGGACGACGTACGTTTCGTTGAAGTAGGTACCCCATCGTTCGCAAGCAAGGCCAGGCCAGATACCTCCGAGCTCACCATCGGGTGCGGCGACATCGATAGGATCAGCCCTGGAGCCTTCGTCGAAGGCAACGTAGGGGTGAATGTCCATGATAAACCTATCAGCTCCTGGCATCAAGCCCTCCCACTCAAGAGCGGAACGGAAGCCATCGCCGACAGCAATATACTAGAATCTCGTGAGCAAAGTGATGTCGGAAATACCAAGGATAAAACCCACAGGTCCATTACCCTCGCCGAACCCAGACACCTCACGAATGACGCGGTAGGCTTCCAAGTACCAGCTTCTAAGGACGTCTTGGCCAATTCCACCGTAAAGGGCATCCGATCGTGATTCGGGCTCGTTGACGATTCCAAAGATGCCAATGACATCGCGGTATTGGGGCTGTGAGATGAACTGGGTGAACACACGCAAATAGGACAGAGCACGCTGGCCATTTGCGATGCCCATGTTTCCATGGAGGAAGCCAACATTGCGCATACTATGGTTTGATGAGACACTGATTCCAATATTATTGCAGATGACTCACCGAGCAGAGTGGTTGAGGCCGTTTTGGCTTCCAGGAAGGGCATGGAGATCGAGGTAAATCCTCAAGCCATATTTCCTTGCCCATTCAACGGCTTGCAAGAAGTACCTAATTAATGCGTTAGACTCGGCAAGGGGCAGTGTGACCAGACATGCTTACCTCCAAGATACACTCTCGAGGAAAGGTTCGTTGTCGAGCGTCTCGATAGCCCAGAAGCCAATGGGGATACGCAGCCAGTTCAATCCAGCACCAGCGATTTCAGCAAAGTCTTGCTCCGTCTGAGGACGAGTTCAGGAGAGAGCTTTGTTGATGAACGGTGATACTTACGATGAAGGTCTTGTAATGTTCCTCTAATTCGTCCAAGGTTCCAGCTGCGCGCATCATCGTAGTCAGGCTATGCTCGTCCTCAGATCCAGGATATTTCTGGAAGATCCCAGGAGTGATAAGGGCTCGAGGACAAACCATCCTCCAAGGTTAACACCTTGGGCTCGGTCAATGCCCCAACGCCATGTAGTGTTGAGAGGTGGTGTCCAGGTGTTCGGACGAGCGTCCATATTGAAAGGATCCTCAGGATTGCTGACCCCTTCGAACAAGGTGAGACTTCCATTTTTTGATGGAATGAAAGTATCACTTACAAACGCCACCGAAGCTATTTCGGTAGGTGAATTTTTCTCCATTGGCCATGGTAATTTCAGAGCCATCGCCACCAGTGGTTAGGACGTTCGGAGCAGCGCTTGCACTTGGACGGGGAGCACCAGTGCTCGATTCCGAGCTGTCTTCGCTCGAGTTGTCCGAGTTGCTATTTCCAGGGCCGTCGTTCTTCTTGATCACAGTGAAGT